TCCCAGTCCTTCAAAAGTGCCTGAACTTTGGGGGCTCTGGCTTCGGGAGAGCTAAGTTTGGTGAGCAGGTTTTACCTTTCTTCAGGGAGTATGAGCTGTGAGGAAAGAGCATTTCTGACAGTCAGGCTGATTCTTTCTTAGACCGGGGACCCAGAAATCAGATGCACCAGACTTCAGGTCCCTTAGCAGAATTTGAGCTTTCACATTTCTGGTTTTGGTTGTTTTCTTTTTTATTTTATTTCTTTCATGACACACTGCAACAGCTTCCTGTCTACCACCTGGACTTGACTCCTCAAAGATGCATTTTCAGGTTCTTTTTAAGACCAAAATCCCACATATATGGTTCCAAGCTCTTCGAGCGTGCCCCAGTTCAGTCTTGTTCTGGTTAGTTTTAACTGACTCAGATGACAGTTTCTGGACACTATGTGCAAATAGGCTGATGGCTTGATTCTTGCTAAGTCCAGACCAGGTCCTAACTTAGCTTGAGCAACATGATTGCCCAAAGTGGGGTTACTGAAGCATCTGTGAGTTGCTTTTTTAATTTAATGAGTTAGTCAGGTAGCTGATCTGAAAATCACTTTAGCATAAATTCAAACTCTCCGCTCTTTCTAGAATTTAAATACCTCTGAACTAAGCTAAATTATTCTTCTCTGCCTCTGTGACCAGGGAATACAGTAGGATCACCTGCCCGAATAAGAATAATGCCACTGAACAAGTCAAATCCCACAAGTAAAGGCTGATGAGCACACACCACCACTACACACTCTCATACACTGACGTTTTGGTTGATTACATACTGGGAACACTCACTCCCTGAACTGGTGTTTGAGAAGGTACAGGCAGCTCCTAAGACGTAAGTGCACAAAATTTCTTTGCATTATTAACTCTTTTTAACTAATTATTAATCAAATCCATCTAGACATGGTGAACTCCTGCGAGCACACAGCAAGATGGAACACACCCACTACGGCCAGGAACAAGATGGCAACCCAGTTTTGGTGATGTCTTTATCCTATTTTATACATGTGCAGGGCTGAGGCCTTCTCAAAAAGCTGTTTCCCCAGCTGTGCACAGAGAGCTCAAAGCTCTGCTAACATGACTTGCTCCCCCACCTCTCCTAGCACAGCTTCAGAGACAGTTCTCAGACACTACTTCTGCAAATGAGGTACCTCTGAAGTCTCCAGGGACTGGATCTCTCTCGGTAGCTCCACAGCATGTCTGTTGAAGTAGTCCATGGTGATGGCATTATTCCAATAGCTCAGGTTGTTTTCTGGGTTAGATGTCTTCTTCTTCCTCCTCATGCAGCAGACTGTCAGCAGAACTGCTGTCAACAGAAACGTGCCAGAAGGTTGGTTATTTCCTTTCAGTAAGGACTCGCTGGTACCTTACATTTGGTTTTTTAAGTTGCATGAGGAGAGGGTTGGTGACCTTCATTCATACGATTCAAATCTAGTTCTCTCCTGACAAACCCACACCATTAAGTCAGAATCTGAGCCACACAGATGAGGCTTCAGGCTTGGCAGATTATGCAGTTTTTACTTTCTTTTAATGCACATCTGCAAGATGTGGCTGCCTGGCTAAGGAAAGGCTTGGGTGCTGTAGCTGCTGGTATTTTAACTCCAGAGCAGGGATTTATTTACCAAGTATCAATCCCAGAGCTGGGGCTCTCCTGCCCGTCTCCATCAGCTCTGTCAGGACTGGGGAATCTACTGATGAGCGTAACCCGTTCCCCACACTTGACTGGGCACTGGCGATGTCTGAGCCTGGCTTTTTTTTTCTGATCTGCTGTGCACACCTGAGCTTCTGCAATCTGAAATACTCCAGCTTTAAGCAGAGTGATTAGGCAAGATGAAGTGACCAGCAAGGGAAACTTGTTGATGCCATTGTCTGTCTGGTCTCGAGGCCACCGGCACCTTCCAACTGCAGCAATGCCAGGACACCACTCCTCCAGCACCCCAGCTGAATGCAAAGCTGACTGAACACTATTTTCTAACACCTGTGGAATTAATGGACCAGCTGTGCTTGTAACCGCCCTGATTTACGCAGACAGGCAGTTAGCTGGACACGTACTTACTCTGATTTGTACCTGTGAAACAGGGAATGCCCTGCCGTAACTCACTCCATTATTTCTAAACCCCTCGTGGTGGAAAAGAGGAGAGAAAATATTAATGAAGCAGAAAAACGTATTATTTTCTCAGCTACAGCTAAAATTATATATTAGAATGATAGCTCAGAGGAAAGAAATGACTGCAGAGAGGTCAAAGCTGCTTTGTAGTTTTGACAGACATTGCAGCTACCCATATGCTGTGGGTCTAAATTTTTATCCCATCCACTCACATAAAATGGCAATACCAAAGTACAAGGCTAGTGCTCTATTTAAAACAAAAGAATAAGCTACTAAAGAAAAAATAAGTAACATTAATAGGTTTGAGTTCAGAAGGTTTATCTTGCATTCAAAGTGAAAGTTCCGAAACTAATGGGAAAATCTCCCAGACCATTCCTGTGTGTTTCAGGAAAACAGGTCATCGTCAAACTTACTCTTATCTTGGACTCATACTGCTTCGGCCTTCCCGAGAGCCAACAGACCTCAGAGCTTTTTGGTCCCCCCAAGGCACTGAGTGTTTTTTGAAGGTGCCTGAGGATGTGACACAGCTCCAGCAAAGCCAACTCTACCGCTGTGCAAATATTTTGAGAGCCTGAGGTTTTACCGCTTATAAAACGACATGGCTGCTGACAGAGAAGTATCGGATTTGGGTTTTAGAGGGCTGGAAAGCTGGGGACATTGAGTTGAGAGAGATCCCTGCTTCTCCCCGCAGGAATTGGCCCTGCCACGTGCAGATATGAGTGTTCTGCAGCAATAACACTCTCTCTCTTCAGTACTCTCTTGGCCTCCAATCTCAGCACACACACCAGCAAAAAGGTGGAAGACCACAGAAATTGGGTTCCTGAGCTTCCTCAGAGGTAACGTAGAATCATAGAATCATTCAGATTGGAAAAGACCCTTGGGATCGAGTCCACCATTAACCCTACTCTGCAAAGCTCACCCCTAAGCCATATGCCCCAACACCACATCTGAACAACCTATAAACACACCCAGGGATGGTGACTCAACTCCCTCCCTGGGCAGCCTGTTCCAGTATTTTAGCAGAAGGCTGCCTAGCTAAGCTGACCTGATTTAAGGGGGAGTGAGAGGACAGCAGGGCTGGAGTGGGGCTATTTGCTCCTCATCTTGTATTAACTACCATTTTGTGGCATATTTTAGTGAAATTACTGTAGCCCACATAGGACTGCTCGCTTCCAGAATGATGCTAGGAACAGGGTACAGCTTTACTGATATTCTTAGATACCTCTTTGCTCCTATGATTAGAATTCTGTGTATTACAAGAAAACCCTTTCGTGAGACAGAGTTGCGATGGCCAGCAAGGACATAATAAGAGGATGAACAGAGGGCAGAGATGGTTTAGGGAGGGGACAAATGGCAGTTCCAATAAGAGCACAGAGAAACAGTTTGTTTCAACACTTAATTTCCATCATGGGGACATGTTTGCATTCCCTTTGTCTTCTAAATACCGCCAGCTTTATCTGCCACTTCCTCAATCTCCTTTTGCCTTTTTTATTAAAAGCTTTCACTGCATTATCAGAAATGGCCCCCATGTATGTGGGCTTCAGCCTCTTCTTGGACTACAGGACAATGCAGTTGTGTTGTGTTTCTCAGCTCTTAAATAATTTGCATGCCTCTTTTCTTATCTTCCAATACTTTTAAACAAAATAAATCACCAGAATTGTACTTCATATTCAATATTGCCCTCATAAATGCAGTGCAATGAGATCATACCAACTCCCTACAGTGCCCTGAGAGTCTTCTGCCTTTTCTTTCAACCCATTTAAACATTTTACCAATATTACATGGCCGTGTGCCCCCTTCCCCCACCCCCCAGCACCTCCCACATAAAACACATGTTAACAGACTTGAATGTTGCAACCACTTAAAAAGTCAGGAAATATTCAGACTGAAGGATGTTAATTTACTTCTCCCTATGTCTGCTGGTCACAACATAAACTAAGTTTCTACACTGACTGAACTGACTTCTGCGTGTCTGATTTGCAAGTTTCTCTTCTTACGTGTTTTATCATGTTATTCCGTAATTACAGAGCACAGGGACCAGGGTGGAGGGTTTTCAAATGAGTCCCTATCATGTCTTGCTCTGCATTGCAGAGACGGGCACCCCTGCACGTACAAAAGCACGTGCACAAAAATGTTCAGGGCTGAGTGAAGGGCACCATGAAAATAACTCATGCTGTGACATGTAGAAAACACCGGTATTGGTATTACGTACAACTTGGCTTTTCTAGAAACTCCATGATACAGAATCCTTCATTTTCGCAGCCATTAGGTGGCGTTAGTGACGTGACCCCTGTTATTTCTATCATGAAACGGAGGTGCCAAAAGCAGGAACGATTTCCCCAGGTCCATGCAGCAGACTTGGCTCACGCATTCCTATTCAAAGCACTCCTTTCCTGGCATTTCACTGGATTTCAGTAGGACCCAGAAACCTCTGCATCCTTCAGGAAATATCTAGTGTACGGACGGTCTCGGCAGCAGCTCAGGGCTCACCGTCCCCCTCGGTGGGCCTGGCAGCAGTCCTCAGGATGCCAGCCCGAGCACAGAGCCGGGGCAGCAATAACCTCCTGTGACAGGAGTCCTCAAGTGACTTTCTCTGTGGGTCGTCCCCTCCTCAGGCAGCTCAGATTATTTAAGAGCACGGGGCTGCACCTCGATATCCGAGACATCTCCACCCTTTCAGCATCCCAAGGCAGGAGCAGGACGGTGTTTTCTCACTCCATGCCCGTTAACAGCTGCGAAAGCCCCTCACCAAAATCTTCGCCCCTTGAAAAAGAAACCCAAGCAGCTGTGCTGCCCTTCACCTCTCTTTTAGCACCAGTCCCCCGCGCAGCAGAAGCAGGGATGTCCTCAGCCGCCTGTGCCCGGGAGGTGGCGACAGTCTCCTTCGCACACCCACACCACACGCTGCACCTCGTACACCCCACACTGTACACCCCACACCTTCTCCTAGAGGAATAACCCACGCCTGTACACGAGCACTTACGCGGCACAGTTTGACCAGCACTTACCACGGCACAGTGTAACTCTGGGATGAAAGCAATTCCCTAGGAACTTCAGCTAGATCCGAAAAAATTTTAAAAAATCCCGTTTAAATGCCTCTGCCTGTCATTCATTTCAATGTGGAAATGTGTCTGAGGATCCCTAGGCTTTCGAAGGAGAGTCCTGCTAAAGACCATCCTCATAAATCTAGTCTTGAAAGCAGGACTTCAGTATCTGAATCCTTCAAACACTCAGTTGTATTAAAGCTGGTATAGATAATTTTCAAAATCACATTTGCCTTTTAAAAAAATGTAGCTTACAAATAAAAGAAAATAGGCACAGTCATATGAACACAAACTGTTATGGCACATATGCTAAGAGGAAAAGTCTAAACACCACTGTCTAATGAATAGTGGGTTAGAAGTGCTGCCAACAGACTCTCCATGTTAATATTATTAATAACTACCATGAGTTAGCAGCTTAAATATGGCAAGTTGCAGGCAGAGACATACTCCAGTTTACACACTGATTGTGCTTCCTGTGCCTGTGCTGGCTGGTATTATATTTTGTGTTCTGTATTCAGACGCTTTCTACCCAGATCAGCTTTCTTTCTGAGTATTGGCCCAAAACACTTACTTGATCCTGTTCATTAAACCACCAAATAGAACCACTTCTCATCACGAGCTTGCTCTATCCCAGCATCTCCCCTCTGCCTTTTGCAGAGGCACGCACACATGCTCCTGCTTTGGTTTCTCTTTATGTGGACTGTCCCGCTTTTAGGTTTAAGCTTTGCTCTCCCTCGTGGCTTTAACCCTGCAGGGATTCACACCGGTCCCACTCTCATGTGCATCCCTGCAGCCTCAGCCACTGCCCACTGGCACCTGATTCAGCTCCTTGGCTGGACAGAAAGCACCCAAGATCAAAGTGAAAATTATTTTTTTTGTTCACTTTAGCAATCTGCAGGTCCAGTAAGGCAGAAGGAGAGGGCAGGAGAGAAATTTTGGACTTTAAACTCTGATGGTTCACAAACTGCCTGCAATGGAATATTTCAGTGTGCTGGAAAACTGCTGTTTCCTAAGAATTAGTCATTACAACTGTCATTAATCCCTTGGGTTAGCAGTGGGCTTTTTAAACCCAATTCCAAGGCAGCATAAGGCAGTTCCTAGATTACCGGCTTAAACACCTTGAAGCAAAGTCACTTTGCCTTCTAGGGTTGTTCAGCCTTGTGTTAAACCCTCAAATGCAGGGCCCCAAAAGACTAAGTGATTTCTAACAGCAACACAGCAAGTATGTTTTGAGTGATTGCTTCTCATCCACCTCAAGCCACCTGCCTCTCTTAGCTCTGCACCTGGTCCTTGAATCTGAATTTTAAGGAAAGAGAAAGCAAACCAAAGTGCCAATTAACTTACAACATGAAGATATAGGTACGCTGATAGCCAGAATGATCCAGGCAATGTCCATCTTGCTGAGACAGATGGTTGCTCTGTGCTGGGGTTTGTCCCCCTCAGTGACATGGGAGATGTTTCCTTGCACACCAGGTTTCCAGGTCCCAGCAGGAACCAGTCTGTTTAGAAAGTTCCCAGTGGCAGTGGAGCCAGCTGTGGAAACGGGGCTGGACAACCTCGTGGCGGGCGCTGCGGAGAGGGGGCTGCCCAGTGAGGTCGCATTTGTCACCGCGCCACGCTGCATTGGGGAGGGTCCCTCGGAGTCTCCCGCTGCTGGGGAGGGGACGTCGACATCAAAACCGGTCTGGACCGAGCGACCCGTCACAGTGGCGGCAGATCCGGGGCCAGCAAACAGAGGGACGTTTGTACTGAGGTTCAAGGTTACCCAAGAGTTGTTTTCGCTCAGCATATCCCACACGCTGTAGCGGGTGGGTTTAAAAGGCACCGATGCTGCTTCAGGATTTGTGGATGGTCCAGCAGTTGTGCTGGTGGCAAGATCTGCATCCTGCCCCACGAGCTTGGCCCCGTCCCTTTGCTCTGCTCCCAGGAGGCTTCCCGAAGCGTTACGTTGAGGAGGAGGGTCTGAGTGTGTAGTTCTTGCCAGCCCCGTGCCGTTCGGATCGCTGGATGCAGCTGTCTGGGACTGGAACGGGTGATCTGTGAAAGGGCTCCTCAGGGTAGGGAAGGGAGAATGCAGGGTGGTCTTTAGGTAAGGCTCTGAGGACTCTGTGAAGTTGCCTTTGAAAACCTGGAATATTTTCACCTTGGGGCGAGTCTGTCCCGAGTACAAAGCGCTCTGGTTGTACAAATGATATGTTTCCTTTTCACCGCTGCTCGCTTGCTTTTGCCCGGGGGAAGGACGGGGAACGGTGTGAGCGGAGGTGGGAAGAGGCTCCGTGGCGGGGCTGTCTTTGTGCCGAGGTGTTGTCCCCATGGCTGTGACAGTGGTAGTGTCCATTGGGAAGCCCTGAGAGGAGGAGACAGTGGGAGACAGTACCTGAACAGAAAACACCAGCTCTTCTGTCAGTGCCAAGATCAGTAGAACACCTGGAGGGAAAAAAAACACAGAGAGAGTGAGACACCAGGGAGGGACCTGCGGACAGGGTTGTCACGTGTCTGGCAGGAAGGAACACCTCCTGCGTGCTGTGAAAGGACAGAACAAGACTTAGGATCCAATGTTATCGGCTTG